TTGTCACAAAGCAGCTTTACAGAAATAAATGGATTCACAAAAATATATTGTAAATATTTGAATTTATCACTGTGAATTTATCCCTAATGAGCAAGCCAGTGGCGACGGTGGCAAGGAAAAACTCCCTGAGATGATATGAGGAAGAAACCTTGAGAGGAACCAGGCTCAAAAGGGAACCCATCCTCATCTGGGTGCAACGAGAGAGGTCAGAGGAGAACGGCATAGTGGTTTGAGCTGACAGGAAGACTATGTTAACTCAAATAACCACTCTTTATCTCTGTGGTGAGCAGAAAAGCAGAACACTGAGGCTACAGTAAGCACAGGATCACCCAAAGTGGACAGATGAACGATGGAATAAGATCAGACTACATTTTTCATATTCTGATAGTTGTTCCTATTAAGTGTATAATGAAAGAGCAACTGTGTGAACTTGAGTGAACCCCAGTTGAAATGAGTACAAATAACAAAGACTCTGCCGTTTCTGCCTTTGCAACATGCTGATGTAGTGTATCTATTACGTAGCTTTACGTAATTAGATGTTGTCACTGTACTGCGGGAAAGAAATGTTAGATTTCACACTCACAGTTGGAGGTTTTGACCACTGAGCTAGATCTGACATGCTTACATTAGCACTGTAGACTGCATTGGTGTATTTTCATTTCCAGGCAACAGATGCAGCTGACATGAGATCAGTAGTCACCTTTTTGTTTTGCAATGCTTTATTTCGAAAGGTGTACCATCTCGCAATCTACAGCTGCATACTTTAATTTTCATTTATGCGTAGCCGATCTTCTGAAGTCTTGTCGTAGCATGAATCTGTAATTGTAGTGGCGAAAGAACTTATGCTAGGGTTCATACTAAAGTCAGACAGAATTCCACAGTTACATTTTAATTGAGTTCTTCCTGCAACGTGGATAAACATTCACTAGGTCGCATTGAGTGCCACAGGATTGATAGATAAGAACGATAAGCAGGCTCTGTGTAGACATCTTGCACACACAGCGTGCACTCGAGCTGGCATAGACTCCACAAGTTTGTGTAAAACCTGATGATCCATTCATTCATTTATCTTGATTAATCAGTTTATCCTGGTCAGGGACATGGCAGATCCAGAGCCAATCCAGGGAACGCCAGGCACAAGGCAGGAGAATTTAGCCCAGATGGGACGCCAGTCCATCGCAGAGCACCATGCACACCTCGGGGAAATTTAGAGTAGTCAATCCACCTACCTGTATGTTTTTTGGACAGTGGGAGGAAACTGGAGAACCTGGATGAAACCCATGCAAATACAGGGAGAAAATGCAAAATTCCACACAGACGATAACCCGAGCTCAGGATCAAACCCAGAACCTTGGAGCTGTGAGGTGGCCCCCTGAAGATCCGTGTTAGATCAAATCCATCTGAGTGTCATCTGAAAACGTTTCAATGGAAGATACAAAACTCAGGGAAATTCTGCGCTTTTGTACAAAGAAGTTAACATGGTCAAAATCACAAATTTGCTTAAATCTACATAGTGACCTAGAAATAGGGCAGAATCATGAATATTGAAGTTATTAAACACTTCCTTTCTTTGTTTTCTAAAACTTTCATAAACACACACACACACATGCACGCACACATTTCCATGCACATTTGCTCCATTGCTAAAAAAACAAATGAGTTAAGCCAGAGAGTGTATGGAGTAGAGACAGGTCACTGATTGAAATATGAATGGGGCAGCACATAACCCACAACATGTGGTCTGCATTACACAAGTCCCACCCTTCGATAAAAAAACAAACAATCACCTCGTTGGTAAAGATGTAATATGAAAAAAGCCAAATCTATTATATTCCCAAACACTCACAAATATAAAGCATTAATGTCTCTGTGACATTCCTGATTGGTCTTTAATATACACATATGAATCTACAGTTGTCATAATTCAGCCAAACTTCATAACTAACCTATCAAGTTGATAGAATGAAGACAATACAAAGAAGATATGGAAATTAACAGTAACAACCTGATCAACTTCAGGTAGCTGGCTACTGAGCCCAGCCATAGCAGCGATTGGGCGAATCGTAAATGGCTTCCTACTGGCCATATAGTGCACTACATAGAGCGTAGACGCCATTATATTTTCCCCTATGCAGTGAATGTATGTAGGGAGCAGGAAGACATTCAGGAGTCAGCTTACGATCTGGGCTAATGATCACCATTACCATAGAAACATCATCAAGCCTTTGCCCCAAACTAAAAAAAAGTTTTTGTGTGTGTGTGTGTGTGTGTGTATGTGTGTATTTTCGGAGCCAAAGACCAAATTATCGACACCATTTTGCCAATGTGATTACAAGTCTTTTTTTTTTTTTTTTGAAATTATCTTGTCAATCCGTTTCGGTTTAATGCTAGATAGGAGCCTGGTCTTGCATAACTGGAAATAACTGCACAGGAGCGTGTCCAAGATGGCCGCCACGAGGATAGACTTTACTGTAAGGACTTTGGATAAGCCTGTTTGCCATACAGTGTATGTTCCCTATGATTACATACTATAACATTATATTATATTGATATTTGCTTCATAGTCCCCAATGCCTAAAAGAATATTGCACTTTATGTGTAATAAACATTCCCTTTTTAGTTTTCAGACCTCAGATGTAGGTAAAATACAATTATCAAATTTTGCATAATTACATTAGTAGAATGCTACATAGGTCACATAGGGGTTTCTTAAATTGAATATAGGCCTAAATTTTTATAAATAAAAGCCCAAATCTGCACTGAACTACGCTACCCATCAGCCCCAGCATGTCACATGACTATGTCACATGTCCCACTGATTACTCACACCTGTTCTGTGTTAACCCTAATCAGCACCTCTATTTAAGTTCTGGTTTCTGCACATTCTATTGTCAAGCTTTTGTCATTGTGTACGTGGTAGTGTGTGCGCGCGCGCGCGCGCACGCGCGCCACATCCTTGCTGTTATTCTGCCTGGTTTGACTTGTATATTGTGTTTATGGTTCTGGTTTTCACAGTTTTGGTTGTTTTGTTTTGCACATTATAAAATACAATCTGCACTTGCATCCGCTGCCTGTACAGAATCGTGACAGCTTTCTTACACAGTACTGGGAGACTGTACTTAATTAAAAGTATCTTGTCAAAATCTTGCTCTTAAAAAGTATCTACATTTTAACATACTGAAGTATTCAAGTATAAAAGTAAATATTTTTAATGAAAAAATTCTGAGCACAACTCAGACAAATCTGGCTTGCTGGTTAGCTAATGCTTAATTACATATTAGCACAAGAGCAATGAAAACAAATTTAACAAGCTAATTTACAAAACCTAACTAGCTAGCTGATGTAATTAGCTAATTTTCCAAACTTAAATCAACATACTTCTTTTGATTTGATATTTGGTTTTTAGGTGGGAGGCAACGGACGCGTCTCAACGTGTATGAATAAATAACTCCAACAACGGACAACATCTTACTAAGAAGTAAAATAGGGAGAAAAAGACAGCAGGAAAAAACTAAAACTCATGGCATTTGAGATTTGCAATAAGTAGTTTGAAGGTCAAAATAAAATGTAAGG